CTGATCAATTTGTAAAGATGAAGGGATGAAAACACACCTGAAGGCCAAGAGAATTTGCCCGGACGCCTTCTTTAAATGAAATCATTAAAGAAAAAAAAAAGGAAGGAAGGGGGGCGTTCTTACAATTTATTCTGTCATTCCCAAAAAATGTGGAGGCAAACTATGATCTCATGCAACCTTAAACTCATTATCGTCGACCAAACACAAACACAAACAATAGTCGATGAGAATTCGTATTTTTAAAGTGGCCGTATGCCGGGTTTGGCGTTTTCCACGTGTGAATTATGAGCAGAATAGGGCGGACAAATGCCTGGGAGGAAACAGCAAACCCCCAGTTCACTTCAAAATATGCCAAATGGTGACTGAATTGGACTAAATCGATGCGTTTTGGGAGCTTAGTCTGTGGAGAGGGCTGCTGTTTCTCTCCCTTAAGGTGGACATTTCATCAGATATGCGGTCTGGCGTCCATCCCGACCCGGACGGACTCGGTAATCATCTCCTGGCTGTCCTCGCACCCCTAAATCTGCGAGCGGATACGCGGCGGGACGGGTTTGGCGGAAATGGGATGCGGCTTTCTTTGATTGATCAAAGATTCATCAAATGAACTTTGATGAGTGATCACTCGTCTAAGATGATTCACACAGGAGACAAACTTTTCTTTTTCGTCCCTTTTTATGAGCTGTGATGCGATTCTGTAGTCTCTCCTTTTTACTTTTACCATCCCGATGATTCAAACTTAACTTATCTGCCTCCAAACATGCCCGGAGGGAGTCTTTGAGCTCTATTAAACCAAATATGTCTAAATCTGATCATTGAACAGTTTTCTTCAGAGCAGCGGGGGGGGGGGGGGGGGGGGGGGGAGGTGGGGGGGGGGGGGGGGTTGTTATTTACCATGGTTATTTGGATGAGATCTCTGGCCTTCATCAGCATGAGGTGACATTAGAGAAGGGAAAAACAGCAAAAAAAAAGTGTTGAAATGCCATGCACAGCCATATTATACATCCCACATCATTAGAACCCATCAACAACCAGACGAGGCGGTAAGTGCAAAGTCATGAAACCTGCTCAGACTGACTGTGGTAAGAATCACAAACGCCATCGGGGACACGGGCTGCAGGTTTCTGTACGGCTGCATTACGCCCCCGATTGGCTTTTTCCCCCAATCTCACCGTCACCTCATTCTAATGAGGCCTAGATGAAGACATTAGGCTTCACCACATCGAGCAAAAAAAAACAAAAAAACAAACAAAACACCACCACAACAACGCTGTAACGTACAAAACTCTGGGTCGTCTCTCTAAAAATCAAATGCATTTCAGTTCTGAACTGAGAGTAAAGCTAGAAGTGGAAGGAGAATGCAAATGAGATGGGAACAAAGATCTCAAACAGCCTCGTAAATGCAGCATTTTGGTTTTAAAGGGACCAACGGGCGGGGGGGGGGGCAGAGCCGAGCCTCCTACTCACCGCCTCCACCTCGGCCGGGTCGTACCACACGTTGATGTAGGGGTGCTGTAAGGCCTCGTCCACCGATATCCGCTTGGCCGGGTCGATGATGAGCATCTTGGACAGCAGGTCTCTGGCTTGGCTCGCTGGGGTTTGAGAGACAGGAAACAACAACAACAGGTTAATTTCATAAGACAAGGACCAATCATTTTACACCACAAAATGCAGGTGAAAATAGGAGGCGTGTGTAGGTGACATTTAAGATGTCTGTCTTCAAGAAGCTCTTGAAGACCCACCTCTTCAAAGAGCATCTCCTATCCTAACCCTAACCCGTACCTCTACCCCCCCACAGCTCCTTCTGTAGTCCCTCTACCTCTATCTCTATCTCACCACTGACTCTGATCAGTGTTTCTCCTCTGTATAGCTTATTGGCATAGTGATGAGAAATGTTATATTGTGTCTACTCTGTAAGTCGCTTTGGATAAAAGCGTCTGCCAAATGCATAAACATAAACATAAACATAAGAGATAAGATAAGCTTTATTGATCTCACAGTGGAGAAATTCACTGGTCACACATCAGCTTAGTGATTAAAGAAGGTGCAAACAAGGAGGAAAATGTGCATAAAGTATAAACAATAAAAATAAATAAACATACAAGGGAGTAACACAGAGAGATTCATGGCAATTTCAAAACCCTACTTGTGACTTTTCTGGCTAATGCTAGACAGTTCAGTGTGTGTTAGCTCATCCGTTAACAACTGAGACACAAGCATTTTAAAAGGTGGATATTTCAGACAGTATTTCTAATAAAAAAAAGGCTTTCTACAACTTGGAGTGATTATCATACAGTTGCAGTGCTAATTTTGAGCTATTAATGACAATTTAACCCTCAAACACAAAGTTCTGTGTTTTAGCAACTTTCTTTGCTTGCCAGGAGACAAAAAATGTAACATTTAGCTCCTTATTATCTATGTTACTGTCGATTATTCACTATCTGAACAGACTGTTTGTCACACCTGGGGGAAATGTTGGTGTTTTTGGTCTTGTCTCCATGTTGTCTTGTCATTTCCTGTTTTATTTTGAAAGATGCATCCCCTTGTCTCAGGTCACTTGCACTTCCTGTTGTGTTCCCAGTCTGATCGTCTCCTTGATTACCTATTGTCTGCACCTGGGGATCCCTTCCCTCATGTGTTTAAATAGTCCTCGTCTCCCCTTGTCCCGTGCCGGTGTATTGCTTTTCATGACCACAGTGCCTCTCGACCACAGTTATTCCTTGCCATAGTTAAACCTTGCCTCCTGAATTTTTGCCTCCTTTGAGTGCCTTTGTGTTTTTCTCCTAGACGTCCATTCCTAGTGAGTATTTCTTTGTTACTTTGTACCTTGCCCTTAGTCATGTTGTTTTGATACTTTGTTCACAGCTTTGATTTCCTCATAAGAGTGATTATATTTTGATACTTTGTTCATAGCCTTGCTATCTTGTTTTGGTACTTTGTCTCCACTCTGAGAGTGCGCTTTTTGTTCAATAAACCGTTTTTGGAACTAACCACCTCTCTGCGCCTGAGTCCTCCCTAAACCCCAGCCCCCTGACACTGTTAACATAAAAGATTTCATCCTTCGGATTTTTAATGACAGTTTTTCGGTATTCAAAATTGAGGAATCTTTACACTTTAAACTTTAAAAGCTTTTCCAGGAAGTTGTGTCTGTATGAAATGAATGTTTATCTCTAAATGTATTCCAATACGCAGAGCATTAGTACAAAATAATCTTAAATAAGCTACTAAAAACTCAGCCATCCATCTTTTGGGTGGAATACTTGACATTGATTTTTGTTAAAGAGAAATAGCTGATCATAAATGGTATATTCAAATATATGTCATAATACTCTTTGTCTTTCTGAAATATATTACTTAATTCCAACTGTCCACCTCCAGCCCTCCCACAGCCGTCTGTCTCATCCTCCACCATCAGATAAAAATAAACAGAGTTTCCGTCTTGTCTGACTCAGTTTTATGCCTGAAACCCCCCCCCCCCCCCCCCCCCCCCGAGTGCATTTCCTTTAACATCCTCTACACTCAGCCTGAACATAAAGGAGATTCATGGGGACTTCAGTGCTTTATGTGGGAACATGGTAACAGAAACATTTATTGGACCCCACAAAAACACATTGTTGTTATTTATTTGCTGCTAAACTGAAACAGCAGAAGGTGAAAAGATCCAAAGTGCAGAATTTTTTATCTGGACTCTGGAAACAACAATTAAAGTTGGGCCACTTTCCTGCATTTATTTAATATATATGTATATATATATATATAAAATATTAGTCTCTGTAATGTTGTGTGTTTGCGTTTATTTCCATCCGACCAGTAAGTAATAAATAATAATTTAGTAATAAATTGAAAAAATAACATGTGCCACAACACTGCACATGAATCGATATTACAACTTATTACAAATCAAGGTCATTATTTAACTGCATTTGGAGAAAAATGAGCTCACTAAAGTATTATTAGACTTCTCTGAACGGAGTGAAAAAGTTTGACTCTATTCATTATTAGTTTATACATTAAATAGGGTGACTTTTACTCTAAATTTAAGTTAAACCAAATTAAATTAAACAGTTTCTTACTGTTTTAAGCATACATACTTTAGATCCCCTCCCAAACCAGCTAGATTAACCCTAAATTCTAAAAGTTTCCTGGCATCATTTTGCTTTAGTTGAATAAAGGCGTGTGACTTTGTTTTGTCCTCACCTTTGAGTTTGTTGTGCTCAGAGTCAGCGGGGAAAAGGCAGTCGGGGAAGAGCTTGGGGAAGGTGAGGCCCGCGTACTTTGGCCGGTTCTCCACGTAGTTTCTCACGGTGGGCTGCAGCTTCTTCATGAACTCGGGAGAGGGCGTGCCCAGCTGCTCAATCACCTTGTTCCACTGGTCAATGTCTGATGTGGCGGGTCAAGGCAAAAACAAACAGAGAGCCTGTCCCCGGAGACGGCCATCTTTGCAGTGGTGCTGTAATTCATTTTGTATTTAAGTTTAAAAACAATTTTTAGTTTAATCACAACTCCATTTTTGATGAAGCACCAATAAAAAACAATGATATATTTTAAAAAAAAGTCAAACTGTAAAAACAAGGAGCATCTTTGTAATTCACTGTTTAATGTCATTTTTCCTCTCCTAAAAGTACATTTTTCATCTTAAAAATACTAAATCAGTCGACAGAAGAGCAGATGAGGACATTTGGGGGTACCTGGTTTCACCTCTGTTAAGCATCCTATTGCTTATGATCAACCCAGAGCTCACAAACGCTCATTTTTCATCCTTCCAACCTCTTACTAAAGCCTATTTAGCTCTGCATGAGTTCCAGAGAGTGGTAGAGGTCGGTTGTGTTATGAAATGGTTCCTGGATGGGTCAGACTGAGGAGGTGGCAGAGGAAGGATACGGTCAGTCCCTGGGAACAGCACAGTTCCTCTTATCACCTCTCCAAAGATGCAGCCAACTGACCACATGTCCACTGGGATCGCACAGACACACACACGCACAGACACACAGGCCGTCATGTCTCGCGCCACGGTGGAAGTCCATTAAGTCCGAGAGGCGGATAAACGGCCGCCGACTCGTCTGTAGCTTTAGGTTTTAGACTAAAACAACATTACGAGGGTCAAACAAGAGAGCATCTCTATGAAGCTAAAGGGAGGCATTAAAGGCCTGTTAGCTAGCATTAGCTAAGTATTTTAAAACAACAGAATCTCCTCTATAAGATTTGAAATATTATACAGAGTTTTCCCTTTTTACTTGCGTGTGCTGCACTACTTTTTGCATTTGAAATATTCGTCTCATTGTCCACCTGAAGGGCTTTTACATATTTCCTTTTCTGTTATGTGTCCAATAAAAAAAAATGAGCACCTCAAGCACCAGCTCAACAAGCAGGGTGACAAAAAAGCTGATATGAAAGTAATATAAATTATTCTGAAAATGAAGATAAAGAATACACGGGAAACCCTATTTTAAGGATCTAAATGTAACTACCACCAGACTAACATTTTGAGCTGACACTCAGCTTTTCAACACCTCTGCTGGCAGTTATTTGAGAAACATAATCCTGTTTTAGCTCAAAGGTTAATAAATCAAAGTCATTTCATTCCATTGGAGCCACTCGGCAGGTTTGCACAGGGTTTTATTTGTGGGTGGACTGTGACTCAAAAGTGGAAGTTAAGCCTCTGTCCGCACATAAGATCACTATCCAGGAATACCGTTGAGGGGCTGTTTAACATTATGAATTCGCATTTGGCATATTGTAAATACACCACAGGAGTTTAATCAGCCCTGAGTCTGCTTCTGGTCTCTGATCAACCAATCATCAAACGAGCACTGGGCCTGTGGCCATCCGCCCAGGGGTCTGTCTAAGTGGACAGCCCGGTTATTCTCCACCTCCACTTGTCAGACCTTCGGGAAGGTGTGGATGTCTTTAGCCAGGGTCGATATTCTCTATTAGGTTAATGAAGATAATCAACAGCAATCCACCCAATCAGCACCGATCTACGAGCGGAGAACAAAAGCGGCGGCTGACCGGTCGGAAAGGACGGAGCCTTAGATGATGGAGAGAGGTGGAGAAATGCTGCTGAGCTCATTGCAGGTTTTCCTACTCGTCCGGAACATTAATCTTTCAGGGGCTGCGTGTTCAAGGCTGCACGCACTTCCAAACTACAGAAAAATCACCATTTTAAGCGGAGGATGGGGCTTATTTTTTATCCTAGCAAACATGACTATGAAAAGAACCCCTCCAAAACAAATCTATGCCCCAGGAGTCTTCCAGGCAACGTGCATCCATCTTTTTGTGAAGCCCTCTGCTGCGCACGCACCGATTGCCATTAATCTCTGTTTGCTGTCGGCTGCTGGGGTGGGCACGCGGGGGGGCCGCAGTAAAGCAGGAAACGTAACGATCCTCAGCTTATGTATCGCACGCCGCCTTTTCCTGCTCGTTCTCATGCTTTTTTTTTACTCCAGCAATCACAAACACCTTGGTTACTTATGCCACAGAGCACAGCATAGAATCCTAGTTCTTCTAATAATACTTTCTTAATATGACAGGTATCTACGTTCATTTTGCCTAAGCTTGACTCGTATTGCAAACTTTCAATAAACACAAAAGGCCAGCTTTTTATGGACTCCTATCAGGGGGTCAACAGTGGTTTCTCTAAACGTTTAATGTGTTCCAGTTATTTGGCAGTGTGTTCCCACGTTTGTCACTACAGGGCCGGTATTCCCTGTTTAATGCTGAGTGTTAGTCCATGTATGCAGAGAAGGGACCTGAACAGAATCAGTTTGTTGTCTGCCGTGCGTCTTTCCTTGCAGCCTCACCATGTAAAGTGGACACCGAAAGTACAGACGCCACTTAAATGCATCGTGCATTTCATTGCACTACATAAAAAAAAACTACAGAACGAAAGAAAAAGGTCACAAGGCTTCTGCAGAACCAGGCTAAACCTGACTGGCAGAGGGCCAAACACATACTTTACACTTACTCCTAAAATACTCTATTGCCAAAATTAAAAATCCTGGTTTTTGTGCTCCGTCGTGGCGCCTTAAGCTACTGAATTTCTGAATTTCTGCCTCCATCTGTTTAGCACAGTTCCTTTGCATTATGCTTTTAAAAGTGTGGTCACAGGGGACATCCTAAACCAACATACCAGCACTTTAGCATGTCAGTATTTCAGACCTGAGCTTGATATAATATAGTTTAGAATCCTACATAGTTCTTCTAATAATACTTTCTTAATATGAGTTATCTACTTTCATTTTGCCTAAGCTTGACTCGTATTTCAAACCTTTAATAAACACAAAAGGCCTCTTTAAGCACACCTATCACGGGGTCAACAGTGGTTTCTCTAACTGTTTCATCTGTTCCAGTTATATGGCAGTTTGATGAATTACTCACATAAGAATGAAAGAGAAACCAGGACAAAGGGCTTCCCTATCTGACTAAGCTGTGTATGTTTAATGTGAAATCATAAAGCCTCTTCACTATATGGACAAAACCCTGATAGAAGCTAGACAGGCTGCAAATGATCACTTTTTCTTATCTTGACAGATACAACAGAATCAGGCAGAATATCAAAAACAGAAGATCCAGTAAAACCAGTGGCAATGAGAGATTTGTTATCTGTTAGCATAAACTATGTGGTCATTTATGTATTCACTCTGTGCCAAGGTGCAAAACACCCTATTTGAACAGGAGAAAAATGAGTTACAATGATTTTTCTGGTCAAAAAATGGCCTCCGTTGAGTAGTTTGAACTGTCAGAAACTGATTAAAAATGCAACCATTGTCCAAGAGACTTCAAATTGTAGTTTTTAAAGAATATTATATTAATATAGACAAACAGTCACTTTCTTTAACTTGGGTTGTTTTCTTTTCCACTTACAGGCCGATCTCTGGTAAGCTAACTGAAAACAACCCTATGTACTCAGTATCGTGTCATATATCACAGGGATTTTCTCAATGTTTGTGGTCTAACTTTTCAATATAGTCTCTCTAAAGTTCTAGTTTTTGATTGCCCTTGACATCAACTTGAAATATTACAGTGATTTAAATGAGTACTTCAAAGTATGCCGTTATCTTAACTCTAAATTCCCTTTTCTGCCCTTTTCACAAGTAAAGCATGTGTTCACTTACAGGCAGAACTTTTTATTTTACTCATTCTGACAAAATAAATGTACCCTTATCCTGAATGCTTCGAATTACAGGTGTAGGAGCTCTCAGTGGAAAAATGCACTTCGTGTTCTCACATGTTTGGACGCTTAACCCAGAGTCCTGACAGGAGGCTTTTCAGGGATGCAATTACACATAATAACTGCAACAGAACACACAAAGTAGAAGCACAGCTCCCAGTACACACACACATTTCAGAGAAAGGTTTGAGACAGAAGTCCCTTTAGCCAGAAGAGACGAGACTGAAAAGAATCAGGGCTTAACTGAGCTTATATGTAAGTATTAAGAGAAAATATGCCGGTGATGAGTTGTAAAGTAAGCCAGATGTGGTTTAGTTCACCTCTGTAACATACGGAAAAAACAAGGCCTGCCAAACAAAGTGGGATTAGAAGTAATTCAGATACAAACTAAAGCAGAAATTAGTCAGACACATCATCTAAAGTGCATGCTGTTATATTTACATATTTATTCTATTTAAAGCATTCAACATCTGTAAAGAATGGATTAATGGAGATGAAACAGGTTCAAGTGATTACCATGTTTGCAAGGATACAGTCCCGCCCGGGAAAAAGGATTTTGTGGCGCACCATTTCTCCCATAATGCACCCCACCGACCAAATATCCACTGCAGGTATAGAGGCGAGGAGGGAGGGAGGCAAAGAAAAGGGGGGAAGCAGAGGTTAGTGTTTCCGACAGCGAGCATCAGAGTTGAGCTGTTACTCAGAGAGGCGTGTTACAGAAGAAAAAAGCTGCAGGCGGACAAAAGCAGAGCCTTCGCGGGGACAAAGAAGCTGCAGGAAACTCGGAAAAAACCCACAGACTTCCATTCAGGACACAACTCTGACTAATGAGTCTTCGCAAGGTTTGGCGTTCAGTCACATGTGTTGATGCTCTGAGGACTTTTTTTTTATCAGTGACTCACACCTCCCACACTTCAGTTCATACTAACTCAAGAGCACTTCAACTGGAGCTGCTCGCGAGGGTTTTAATAACCTCCTTTTGTTGTCTTTTCCTGCTTTTAGGTGCAGGAGAAAAGGTAAAAAGGACCAAGAGTCAAAGGCTGATAGGCTCCTAATGCTGATGGTCCCAGAGACTAACAGCTGCATGACCCACTGATGACCACAGACCATAATTAGCCGTCCTCACCGTTCTCTTTGTATCCCATTCCCAGGATGACCTCCGGGGCTCTGTAGTACCGCGTCACCACGTACGGGGTCATCATGAAACTGGTGCCTGCGGTCCTGGCCAGCCCGAAGTCCAGGATCTTCAGGGTGCAGTCTGATTTCACCACTATATTGCTGGGTTTGAGATCCTGGAAGCAGGGAGGAGACGTTCGAGTCATAAAATGAGGAAAAAAGGATGTATGGATAGAAATAGTGAATTATAAGCCTGTGGTTAAGGAAGACTTTTTAATAATCTTTTTATCAAGTTAGACTTGAAGAAGAAATGTAAGGGGTGAAGTTGGGTTGTTTTCTTTACTTGTGCTTCATTCTTTTATATCCCAGCTTTTACATAGATTAGATTTGAAAGTATTCTTTCTTCATTTTTTATGTTTCGTCTCCTCTAAATAGGAGATTGGTCATAAGTTTTTCAACTGGATTTAAATTTGATCTTGAGCCCAAAAGTATGACGTGAAAATCAGATTTGCTACCTGTTTTTGTTTTTCACTTATTGGGTCGTGTTAAGCCTCAATTTGGTTTAAATAGTTCTGTATTCCTGTCTTAGTATCTGGATTTTCTTGAGTTTAGTTCTTACGGCTTTCAGATTGGTCGCCAGATTTTTATTCGGTTCTTTAATAAAGTATGAAAAAGATTAACAAAAAATATTTGTTGTATTTTTGCCACTTATAATTAAATCTTGTGCCCCTGAAAAAGGTTTTTTACCATAAAGTGCAAAATATTTTAGCAACTGTAGATACAAAATTAAAGGGTTCAAATAAAATAATCCTTCACCACGATCCATTCGGCTTTTATCATAGTTTGTGCTCCCGTTTCCTGTCAAACGAGCCCTGATGAGCACAAAGGCCGCGATATCTCTGGCACTGACTAACCCTCTTACCCTGTGGATTATCCCGGCCGAGTGCAGATGTTTGATACCACACAACATCTGGTAGAGCAGGTAGGACATTCTCTCATGGTCGAGCTCCATCTGAATCACCTGACACAAGTTAGCATCCATGAGCTCCATCACTAGGTACCTAAAAAGAAAAAAAAAAGATAAAGGGTGAGTGGCAGGCAGAGGTGTTGGATGACTGTCTGCTGTGAGATGCTCAGTTCTAACAGTTTTTGCTACATTTCTGCCCAAGTAGATGAAAGAAATAATATATAAACCCCTCAGCTGAGGGTATTTTCTAAAAGGAACGGCCTAATTTGTCATTCAGTCACACAACGTGAGGTTTCAGGCGGCTTCACATTACACACAGAGTACTTTCACTGACTGCACACGATGCAAAATAAATCAGTTCCCTCCCTTTTTTCTGGTGGCTACGTTCACACGGCAGCTCTTAATTTTCAACGCAGATATTTTGCCGTGACCTTGTTTTTCTATTGGCCAGCTGTTCTTATCTAAATGCCCTGCCATCAGACTTGAAAAGCTTCCGTCGTTTAAAGGGGCCATGATGAAGGTCCAATTCTCAAATAGTTGTGCAACTCAAGACAACAATAATTGTGACCAAGTGATAATGAAAAGAAGAGGGTTGGCAATAGAGTCCCAGGAAAGCCTTTTGTTTTGGAAAGTTAAGGGAAAACTACAAATCTGAACGCTTGTGTCAGCATTTCTTCAGAGATTGTGATTCGGGGTCACGAGAACTGGGTCTTGAGCCCTTAGTTCTGTGTCCAGCACACTAAACACACTAAAACATTTTAACCACGACAGATATTACAAATGTGACAGCTGCAATCGATTTCTGAGACAATTCTGGTCTTCTTTGATATGGTACCTGATCACTTCCCATTGGAAAAAACTTTCCATTGATCCAATATGGTGGTTTTCAGGACTCTGCAGTATTAAGATGTGTCATTTGCACTTTAGTTTCTGAAGTAAATTGCTGTTCAAACTCTTATAAAAAAAACTATATGGGTCAAAAATCTCTGATGTTTTCCACTTTTATCTCCGGTGTCAACATAGACTACTAACCCATGACTTTCCCAGTCATGCACTCACAAATTTTATTATTGTAATGTCATTGTCTGAACGTGTGTCTTGACTGATATTGTATTATGTGATTTTGTGTTGTTTTGTCTTCTTGCCTCAGGACGAAAGATGCAAATTAGCAAATATGCTATAATCCGGCTCATTTACAATCTGTACTGAAGTGTAAGATTGTTCATTAATGACCACTGTCCTGATTAAATAAATATATAAATATACAGGTCAAACAAACCTGAAACGTATTGTGTGCTTTAATATTTCTGTCATTCAATTTAAACTGTGCAAAGGTTTGACTTTACTTACACATCTTGGAATTCTTCTAATGATTTCTGTGGTGTGAAGACATTTAATAAACTGATTATCTGAAAGAGAGGAGAGAAAACCGGGATTAGATCAACCACAAACAAAGTGAAGACGGAGCCAGAGGGGCTGATGCAAGCGGGCACTGAGCTGCTGAGAGAGAGAAAAAGTGAGCGGAAGAAGTGAAGCGGAACAAAAGAGAGGTGGAAAGGCGTGGATGACAAGGAAAAGAAAGACAGAGGAGCACAAACTGCGGCAGTGGCGATTACACTCGGGCCGGGAGGAGCTTTTCTGTTTCACTCTCCTGCTGACAGTTTGGTACATTTCCGGAGGCTTTGAGTTTAGAACGGTCACAACATTGCTGGGGCTCGTTTGTGTTTTGATGGGAGGGGGTTTGATAGGAGCCAGAAATAGACACAGACTGGGTTTTTAGTTCAGTCTGACACCCGGTGGATTTTTTTCCCCGTTTCTTTGGTGCCTCTCAGATGAATAAGAATGTAAACAGAAATAAGAGTTGAACTAAGAATTAGTATAAGAATGAGAAGAAGAAAAGAATGAGAATGACAACGACAAAGTAAATATGAATAAGAACAACAACAAGAAAAAGTATGACACAAAGGATGAGAAAAAGGAATAATAAGACTGAAAATTAATGTGAAAATAATAAGAAGAATAAGCCGAAGCAGAATTATAATAATAATAGTGATGAAAACAAAACAATAAGATTAAGAACAAAGGACTAAAACGCTTACATTTTTGTGATTGACACATTTCATGAGCACCAACTCCCGGTACGCCCTCTTCGCATGGGTCTGGTTCTGGAAGGGTCTGCTCAGTTTCTTAATGGCTACATTTCTGTCGAGGACAGCATCATAGCCCGCACTGCAGAGGAAAAAAAAAACACAATCATCAGTATTCCTTCAGCATTCATAGCTGGACATGTGGGGTGAGTGTGTGTTTGATTGTGTGACACCACGGTGGTCCTAATAAAACACTAAATAAAGGAGACGATTCTCCACATCCCCACAGAGTCAAAGTACAGGAGACAGATGGCAGATTTGGATTTTGGATTTTAATTCTGGTATTAAAACTGCAGTACATCCATTTCCCTTTGGACAAAATCTGCAGCCACATTTCCTCAGTCTCTTAATATAACTGAGTTAAGGTTCAAAGTGCAGATCGAGACCATGGCAACTGATTTATCTCATGAAATAAATGAAACGCTGCCCACGCAAAAACTGTTCAGTCCTATCAAATCTATGGAAGAGCAAAAGTTCCTGAGCATGTGTGTATGCGACACAATGCAGTGACTTTTCAGGCCCACATAAGTTTTAAATTATGTAGTCAGAATTTGAAGGGGACTATCCTCCTCTGCCCTCTTAAATCATGATGCATTTCCTGTTTAGATAGTTATTCTTTATTTCTTTATTTCTTTATTGGTATTAACATCAAACTGTTTTGTAATGTCACCAAATCTTAGAAGAAAAGAACTAATGAGGCTCTACCAGTAGTTTGTTCAGTTTTTGATGACCTGACCAGGAAATAAAACTTCAAATTTGTTTTAAATTTGAAGCTCAAATGTCCTATGTGTCATTAAATGCAACAGGATCATCCCATGTTTAAAATAAGAAACATTTCTTAATGTTGGCCTCCATGAATGCTGGGTTCACTGTGGTTATTTTATTATGTTATTCTGCAGTTTTCTGAAGCCTTATTATTATAATTCCTGAAGGAGGATGTTTTCAGCTGGTCAGTGTGCAGAGAAGCAGAATATGGACAGATATTTGAGTTTAAATTTAAGTTATTTCTGTATTAGATTGCTGTTTAAGTTTGTATTGCAGTTTACACTTTGGGCCGGGCCTTAAAGAGGCAGATCTGACTCCCTAAAACCAGCTGCTGTAAAAAAAGGCTTTGAATTCATGACAGAAAAGTGATCAGTGGTACTTTATCTGGGTTGTCTCGGTTTGAGAGACATTTTAAAAAATTGCATCGTTACGATTTCTATTGAGTTGAAAACAACCTAAGATAAAACCGCCTTTTTAAATCATTGCTAATCAATTTCTTTGATCATGTTGAATGTAAAGCAAAGCATTCTCATTTCTCTCGCTTAAGATTTGTTACACATTCTGTAAAACGATTAAAAAAAACATAAAGTAGTAAATATTACCATTAAAGAAAAGTGGCACAACCCAGTCAATTTCAGGTAACATGACTCAGTTTCATCAGTAGGCTCTCTAAGACCTGTCTGTTGGCTCAACACAAACCAAACCACCGAGATCCTCCGGGAATTCGGCTGCTTTTTGAGGGCCTTTAAAGCACAGCAGCCATAAAATGCTGTATCATTGTGTGGCTTCTCGGATAAAACTTCCCCCCAGAAGCCGCTGAGATTTAAAGCCTGTGCTGAGACCTGCTCGGGGGGGGTGGGATGTCGGGGGGGAGGGGGGGGGGATTCTGTGGTCCTCCTTCTGTGGCCATGGAAACAGTGGAGCCTTGTTAAAAGCATTTATCCAATGGGGAGTTGAGCCGGTCATCATTTTTCTGGCTGAGTGAAAGATGATGTCACGACCAGCTTAGCTACTTAGAGCCTTCGGCCCATCTGAGACGCCAAGAGCTCATCCTGACCGAAAACGGGAGTCAGAGACGTGCACGGATCGGGATGTTTGAGGGCCTGAGTCCTACCTGGAACCAGCTACAACTGACCACACCAGTTCTATGACCTTAGCTCTTATATTCGTCTGGATCTCTTTGCCTTTAGCTCCTGCCTGTTGGTAATTTTTAATTGAAAACTTAGACAGAAACATTTCTATGTAAATCTGGTCGTGTCACCTATGATGCTAGAGATGCCAAACAGCACATCATCTTCTTCCATCTTGCGTAATGTTTTAAATGTCCCCCTTTTTCTGGACACAGCCTCATCTACTGGCCTGTCCGTGCAGCTCCTTTTGGACTTTATCTCAAACACCAGCCTGATTTTACAGCCGTTGTGACTTTGCTTTGGTGATACACCTACCATCTAACACCAGATAACAGCTGTGGGCGCACAGCAAAGCAAGGTTAAATGAGATTTGCTCTCCCTGCCACCCATCAACTCAATCTCTTTCGAAATGGGCATGGTCCCAGCATTAGCATTAGCGTTAGCGTTAGCGTGCACAGCTTACCCAAGCTGCTTTTTTTTCCCCCCAGCAATAAATCGCTTTGGAACGGACGGAGGGAAGAACAAAGGGCATGGGAAACATGCCTTTTGTGGAGGTGGGAGAGTGGTGTTGACAGCCTGGGAGTTTTCATACAATTCAGGAGAAACCTGTCAAACTCTGAGGGTCTCAGAGATACGTCGCTCAGCGTTACAGCATTAGCATAAATGTGACTTATGGATCTGCTCGCTGGCTTGTCAGAGACTGGAAGATGTGTTCCTTTAAGTGGAGACTTGGCAGTCACTCCACTCCGTTCTGACAGGGCAGACGTGAGGTGAATCACAATGAGCACCAGCCCTCCGTGCAATCTGGATTAAGGATTCATTAAGGGTCCATCCTGGCAAGCCCTTATTTCCCATTCATCGGTTTTCCGAGCAGAAGATCCACCATCAGCTCACACACCTGGGACACAATCATGGCCTCCTGATCCTTTAAGCAAATGTTTTTACTGCTTTTTTTTCCTGTTAACAGTTTTTTTCCCCTTTAAATTCTCATATATTTTAATGCCAAAAACAACAACGGCCTGGCTACAATCATTAAACGTATTTAAAATAGTGGCTCACTAACTCTTAGTTCTTCCGTTAAACACTCATTATAAGTAATTGGATCAGATTTTTTTTTCCAGCAATGATTTAGGTTTGAGGACGTCTTAGTTAACGGTGTCTGAAGTGGCTAGTAATTATCTATCTAATTTATTTTGAGCACATTGCTTGAACGGGGATTCCTGTTCTGGTTTCAGTAATGATTGGCAGGCGTTGCTTTAGTAATGACAGGTCACCTGTTTTCCCCTCCACGTGTTTCCACTCTCTTAAATGCGCCTGATTTGCCAATTTTGATTCATCTGTCATCGGCTCAGATCGGATATTCTGCCCTGCAGCGGATTATGTGGTGCTTTTTTGTATTTAATCCCGTGTATGTGTGTGGGGGGGGGATGCTCTGACATCGTTGACAGATCAGATTTATTCGACTTCAACAACTGAAACAAAACATTATCTCACTGTGACATTTATTATCAAGAGTTAACAAAAATCGACCAGAAAATGTCCCTAAATAACCTCAAATTGCTCATAACTAGATCTTTTAGTTACTGAGATAATTATTTTAATAATTATATTAATGATAATATGATTATTATAATATAATAATTATTATTATCAGTCTTTTTTTAAATTATTATTATTATTATTATTATTATTATTATTATTATTATTATTATTATTATTATTATTACTATTATTATTATTATTATTTTATTTTATTATTATTATTATTATTTCTATTTTTTATATTATTATTATTTCTGAGATGTCACCCCTTCATCTTCAGAATCTCCAGTGGTAATAAACTACAGGACAATTAGACGTGCAGCTGACGGTTAAATGAAACAATCAAACACTAAAGGCTACGTAGTGGCTCGTCAAACAGCATGACACCGTATAAAAAAGCTCATAAAGAGATGCCGAGGACTTACCAGACGATTCCCTGAGCTCCAGAGCCGATGGGCTTTAAATTCTGGTAGCGTTTTAAAACTGTGAAGGTAGAGTCTCCCACTTCCACGCTGTAGAACTGGTTGTCCACTTTGCTTTTGCTCATGTTGTAATGTTTGGCGATATATGACACATCCACTTGTTTTCCAAAACCCTGCGTCAGAGAAAGTCCGGTTAGTGATGCTGGAGGCACTGAGGAGTAAACCCTCATCTCACAAAGTTACAAAACATCTGGACAAGAATCCTCAGATCTGAATTAATTAACAGGATATCATCTGTGTACAGTCATGTGAAAAAAGTAGAGAAACTCAGAGGAAATAATAAACATTTTTTCTTCTTTGAACCAACGCCTGCAGAAAAATGGAGGCATGAGAAACCCATAAAGGAACACGGGGCTCTTTCAAGGAATAAATCAACAAAGGTATTTTCTAACCCGCCCAAAAAATAATCTAGTAGGATTGAAGTATCCTTTTTTATCCTGTCACTGCAGCATTTCTTCTATTTACCTGAAGTTCTCCGACCCGTTGAGAGCTTAACCCTAACTCTAATCCAAACCCAAATCCAAGACAATCATAACATTTTAACATCTTCGCTTCACAGTTGATGACCTTTGCTTTTTCTATCCAAAATGAGATGCTGTATAACAATAACTACCACTAACTCTCACTATTTTAAGTATAAAAGTTAAAAATTGCCAACTTGCAAGTTAAAAAGAGAAATATAAGGTGTTCTTTTTTTGGTCAGTTGTTACAGGTCCTACTTTTATCATCTTGCTGATCTTTACAGGTTTAAAACCTTCCGATCTCTCTATTAAAGCGTAGCCAAAGCCTATAGAAACATACTTAAAGTAGGTCAGATCTGTTCTGATTGTAGATACAACACTCCTCACACCAACGGCTGCAGAATATGACGATATTTGTGGGGTTCCTGCAGATATCTCTTCACACGATCAGCTGCATTCACAGGACACATTATGGATTTTTTTTCTACATCAGTGAGTGTTAGGACAGAGTCACAGTCAGAAGTCGGCAAAAGGATAATCTGGTCCTTACCAGGTCTTGAAATGAGGTCAGTACAAACTGTACTTGACATTATTCTGAGTGTTTATTAATTCAGAAAGGACTCGGCTGCTCTGGAGTTTTTAAGTAAGTGTGTGTGCCAATCAGCAATGATCTGCCCATCAGATCAGAGGGTTATAGGGCCTTCTCTTGGTTTTAATTTAGTTGATTGTGATAGGAACCGCCATTATTATTGATGCAAGACACACAATCATGCATGCATGCACTAATTCCTTCGGGCATTCAAGGAAACAGTGGGAGTGTCCATGCAAAGTCCAACCAAAAGGTCCCCAAACCAGGAACCCCCCACCCAACACTCTCTTTGGAAGTTGTATTAAACTAATTTGAAAAACCCGATAAGGACCAGGACTAGGACCAGCTGGTATTAGTCATGCAAAGTTATCAGTGGGACCAATGTCCTCCCTTGTCCAAAGACATTGTCGTTTTACATTTTTTTGCACTATTAATCATGCTCTAAGTATCTGATCAGAGCAGGAATGCTAACAGTAGCACAAAACATGTTCCTTAAATTAAATAGAGACTTGATCGTTGCAGTGCTTTTTATCATAGCAGGAATTATTATTTCAATATGTCGGACTGTTTTCTTTACAATAACCTGTAGTAGAAGTTATGGTGGCAACATTCCCATGCAAAGTAATCGGAGCCAGAGCGGATCAAATAGCAGCAGTTCTCACACACATATCAGAGATACAAATTTGTAGCTTCGAATGCCAGTGAGTGTGGCTTTTACACTGTCAAAAGTCAATGGGAGGCAGGGAATTAACCTGAGTTTGGCAAATATGTCTACCACAAATAAACATTATTTTACTCATTTATAAACCCATAGAAATAAGAGCTCTTCATCCTCTGAAAACATGTTCCCCCCAAAGAATGACACCATTTTAAACGGTTTAAAGATGTTTTGCTGGGAATCAAACTGTGCTGTTTGTGAGAACAAACCACTGTCGTGTTAGCTCATTTTGTTCACGCGGGCAAAACATTCGGATCAGAGAGAGGAAAACGGTAGGGAAGGAGTACTGTACCTTTTTTTACCTGTAAGGAACACACACCTGACAAAAGGCTATCTTCACATCCAGGACTGGTTGGCTGCAGTTATATAAGAAATGTCTACTCATAAATACCTGAAAGACACAAATGGGGGGAAGCAGAGTCAGAGAAAAGAAAAGCAGACATTTCTGATACCTGAGACACACTTTGTCACACTTTTGATGGTACAGACTCAAACAGTGGATTAAATAAGAAAAATATGCAGCCATTTTTTATCAGTTCATCCTCGACTCAGTCGATATTTGGAGAATTAATGCAAACATGAAACACAACATGAAAGTTTGTGTTTAAAGTAATTTAAACCTCTCCTGTGGTGAGACTTAATCCATGTTGTAAATAGCTGCTTTCCTTTTTTTCTTTTTGCATGATTCCAACTAAAAATGAGAAAAATCCTTATTTCATAACCTTATCTCCATTTGCTCATATATTGCCTTCATGTTTTCCAAATGTACAAAAATCTAGATCCAGAGAGCTAAAATCCAAACGGGATTAAATAAAGGACCAACGATAAACCAGATTCTAAATCCAAACCTGTTATGACACCAAACATATAAAGCTTCTAAACCTCATTTCTGAGTTTCAGGGACGTGTTTTAACGCCGGTATCACAGGAGAAATCAACTTTGGAAGAGCCAGTTTTCCAGACTGCATTGTCATCATATTTTAGGAAGCTGGAGGGACATAAGCAGTGAAGGAGCAGCTAAGGGGTCAATTTGGTTTAAATGCAGCCGTCCCCAATTTTTAAGGAGCTTTTTCTCAGCAGATATATAAAGAACAGAAAGAGGAAAGAAAGCTGTGAACAGCTACAGCTCTTCCATATAGCAGCCGTGAGGGAGACCACAGCTTTAATCTACAGTTTTCCAGGTAATGAAGCTCCCAGTGAGCTAATGACCACGTCCTCTGAATGGTAGGTGGTGTTAATGATGCCATGAGAATACCACAGACTCCCACCCCCTCCATTAAGAAAGGTGGGATGTTAAAAAGAGATGGAGGATGGAGCTTTGCAATTTTCTCAGAGGAAGAATATCTACGATTTTTTGGAACTGAATCCCTGAGAGCTTTGATGTCTCGGCTCACTCCAAAGAGAGACGAGAGAAAAGCTCTGAGAAAAGAGATGTGGGACACAGGAGTTGGCTATTTCTGCTTCGGGTTTTTTCTCCTGACCTTTTACTCGGTCGGCCGTTCCTGCCGTCCACATTTCAACACCGATTGGGAGGCGTGTGCACAAATATGATTTGAATTTGCCAACGCTCACATATTGCTTTGAGTGAGAAGAGGGGAAATATTAATAAAAGGTGAGGATTCACAATTCTTCAAGCCTCTGTAGAGAAGTCAGTGCACACGTATTTCCACCCCAATGGCCATCGTCGTATTTGCTATTAATCTAATGGGTCAACACAGAATCCAAGCTAGTGCTATAATCTTTAGCCATCTGCCCACAAGATATCACAAACCCCTCTCAGGCCCAAGTGTTTTCCAGCTATATACACAACAATAATTCAAACACTGCCTGGTTAATCCCTTCTGAATGTGATTATAAGATACATGCAGCCCACTGTGGCACCACTGTACACCTCAGCCCATTTATTTTCTATATTAATCTAATTCAGCAATTACATCAGTGTAAGAATAGCCCAAAAATACAATTTAATTCCTTTCTAGTAAGTATTTAGATGATTTTGCACAACAAAACGTATTTCATCAAAATAAATAAGGTCTTATGGAGAATTAAATTAGCTTTACTGCTATGGAAAGTGTTACTCTGCTTGTATACTGAGGAAAAAAACGAGCTGGCTGCCACACGTTATTCCAAATAAGCCGGATAGATCTGGATTGTTCTGCGAAACGATCTATTGGCGCTGATCCTGGAGAAGAAATCAAAACGACAGGTCAAATCAAATCTTTCCACTGCGATATCTTCCCCAGAGCTAGTGGGACGCAGCAGCTTGTGAGCTTTGTTTTCTGGAGCCTGCTGGTCCTGAAATGCTGCTCTGGCTGAGACTGCACTCAGCAGCTTTCCTTAAAATAATCATATATCACCACAACGTGTCTTATCGGTACGGGCTGCTCCAGCAAAAGATTTGATGATGGCTTTTTAAGCCCAGCTAATTCCAAGATGGTGTTTTGAGAGAGTGATGAGTCATGCCTCCTGGGTCACGTATGGCCCTGCAAATGGGAAAATAAAATGACTTGTTTTCACTAAACACTCCATGATCATTTCTCACCTGTATGATCCCTCAGACAAATGAGATATGTGACATTTCTTGCCTCTCTGGTCCCTCTTCCCTTTAAAGGAGACATACTATACCCTATTTCAACAAGTTAAACTAGTTCCCTGGTGTCCTAATGTAATGTGTGTGACAAGCTTTGGTCAAAATCCCATAAGGATGAAGCCCAATAGCAGTTCAGTCCCCCTGCCAAAACAGCCCCGTTCAGAGCGCTCGCTTTGGAGTGCCTGTCTCTTTAAATGCAAATGAGACACAGGCAATCCACCCACTTCTTCAGGGAGGTGTTCCCACGCCGGCACGCTAACGCTACCACGCTAACGCTACCATGCTAACGCTACCATGCTAACGCTCACGCTACCACGCCGTCTGCCACAGATAGGGGAGTAAGCTGAGGGGGGGGGGGCAACATGCATGTGAAGGGCTGGAATATTATAATAGGCTAAAGCTAATGACGTCAGAAACTACCCACTCCTGAAACCTCCTGATTTATCTCCTGGATTGAGTCTTTTTTTTTCACACTTTGCCTGCTGATAGGCCCTTCACAGTCCTAAATGTACAAAATAAAATGATTAAAAACTTGGTTTTGCATAATATGTCCCCTTGAACGCTCATCACTTTTCTCTCAGATTTGCTCGTAAAAAGTGCAGAAAGAGCCAAAGGGCACTGTCAGTGTTTTAATTGGCATGTGATCGGACGGTGCACGGAGTGCGGAGGGCAACGGTATTTTTTACTAAACATGAAGTCACAGTTTATTTATAGCAACATGTCAAACTGTCATTACCATGGATGCCAGCGCGATAAGCACGCCGTGGTTGGAAAAGCCGTGACGGGGGGGGGGGCTGGAGGCAGAGCTCTGCTCCTCGGTGGGGTTTAATTGCACTAAAGTACGCACTCCAAAGCAGACTGTGATAGATGGCCACGGAACGAGAGTGACTGGAAACGGTGAGTGGCGAGAGTGAGCTGGCAAAAGTAGAAACCATTAGCACGAGTGTTGCTAATGGTCTTTATACAACAGCAGACAAAAAAAAAAAAAACTGCTGGTTAGCCTAACTTTAATGGCACGGGGGCAATTAATTAGAGTTCCACTGCACTTGCTGTATATTTAGAGCCAAACGAAAAAGTAAAATGTTTTCTTTTTGGTTTTCATTTCTGCTACAGACATCAAAGCAATAATGTTTCTTATATCCACAGACCAACCACAAAAACTGCACCTCTGTAACCCTGTAATGCCAAATGTATCATATTTGATTCATACGGTTTCTGAAGTCTTTTGGATCTGAGACTTTTTTGCATCATTCAGTGGTAAAAGCTTTGCTCAAACCCCTGTTGTACACATTCAGATATACCTGATAACAGCCAGTAGAAGACTACACCAAAATATATTTTTGACTTATTGCACGCTAATTTGATAAAATAATTTCTGTTTTCTTTTCTTCATATGTTGTTGAGAGGCCACAGAAAGACTTCAGACTAAAAAACGTTTTCCTATTTTGGGCTTTAAAGGGTTAAATTAGCTAGCTTCTGACTTATAGGAGGACCACTATGACATGACAGGAGTACGACACTGAATTTTAAAGTCTGACTTCTGAGCGTTAAAGCGTAGGATGTTATGATGCTGCGCAGGGAGGATTTTACGGCCAATTTCTAGCGTTCGGGGGGGGTGCAGAAGCAGGAGTGATGTGTCAGTGTTCTGCCAGTGTCCGGTAGTGCATTTAGTGTGATCTGGTATGAGCTTTAACACATACACCACTCAGCCCGAGGCCGTGTAAAGGCCTGTGCGTGTGCCATCTGTGGATGAGGATGGGAAACATCTAAAGAAAACACAAATAGACCGGGGAGGATGGGGCACGACAAACAAACACACAAACAACCCAACAAATGAGCTGTAAGCAGATCTAAAGACACGGACTGGGACTAAACAGCTAACCAATTTGAAAGTTATGAGCGAGAAAAATCCGAAAAAGCTTAAAAAATGGAATAAATGGACTGTAACTGACCAGAACTGAGTGTTGGGTGTGATAGTTTTGGCTGGTCTTCGTTCTTTGGATCCTAAGTTTGCGGATACATCCACACACAACGACCACTGGGGTGGATAAGTGATCACTTCAGAGGTGTGTTCCCATTACTCTGCAGATGTTCCTCACACTGCTCTTCTAAATTCAGCCTTTCCCACCCGTTTCCAACCTCATTAGCTTCCTTTTCTGTCAGCATAGCTTTCGATCATATCTGCTACCTTCCCTGGTTGTACCCAGCTCTCGTTCCTTTGCTTAAGTGGAGATAAACACAAATTCATCCATTTTCTGATTTACTGAATTTCTGCTAAATTAGATTTTAAGCGTCTCACATTTCTTCCCAGTCTTCGCCATAATTAGACAGATGTTCTCCAGATAGAGCCTCTCTTAAGCTACCCGTGCATTTTTTAAGCAGCCAATTCCAAATGTATCCACATTTAAACAATTGCATCACTTAAAAGCTAGTTTTATGCGATTACGACAACACGTATTTCATAAAAACAATGTATTTCCATCCATCCATCCATCCATCCATCCATCCATTTTCTGAACCGCTTCCCAAATTGTGTCATCGGGGGACTGGAGCCTATCCCAGTGGTCAGTGGGCGACAGAGAGGGTACAAATCCATCTCAGGGACAAAGTATTTCTTAAATAAAAAAAGGCTGCCGTGTCCAGTAGCATAATCTCTGTCAGTTAATCAATTTTCAATCCTATTTGTGCCAAACCTCAGATTGGATTTCATAGAAGGGGCCACACTTTGCTACAATTTTCCCCAAAATAAATAAATAAATATGACTTTCATGCAGGTGTCCAGAGACGTAAAATGGTGAATAA